GTCAATGACATCTTCGAACGTATCGCAGCTGAATCGTCCCGTTTGTCACACTACAACAAACGGTCGACCATCACCAGTCGCGAAATCCAAACTGCCGTTCGTCTCTTGTTGCCAGGAGAATTGGCCAAGCACGCCGTCAGTGAAGGTACCAAAGCCGTCACCAAGTACACAAGCTCAAAATAAGCTGCTTCGAATTCAGAACAAAAAAACGGCCCTTTTCAGGGCCACCAAATAAATAACTTATAAAGAATTGAAAAAAATCAAAACATTTTATTTCTTATTTTTCAAAAATATTTTCAACTCCGTTGGTGAAAAATATCTATTTAAATCAATCTTACGAACAAAAATGAGAAAAAAAATTGTCATAGAAAGGTAAGTATTTGAACGCATCTCTGAATAGAAAAATAATAGTAAATAGTTTTCATCTATAAGTTCGTTCAAGAGCATTGTGAAAAAGAAATCTTCAACAAAGATAGAATTACGTTTACTTTATTAATGAATAAAATAAATATTTAATACTTTGCATTCACTACATGACAAAAAATTGAAAAAACTATTTATTGTTTAGAAAATAAAAAACCACATGATTTTATTTAATTGTCAAGCCAATTGAATAAGAATAGAAAATGAAGTTTCTATTTTTCATTAGAATATCAAGAAATAAAACGCTGTTTGCAGCACAATCCAACATGACATGAAAATAATTGCCTAAAAATATAATTTATTAGTTCCAATCAAAAAAATATCTTATTTACACAACTAGATATGTTGACATATTTTTTTTATATGAGATATGTTTTCTTATATTCGAATGCTGAAAATGAATGCGAGATTTTGTTTAAATTATTCTTTATAAAATATAAATTGTTGGCCCTGAAAAGGGCCGATTTTTGTTAAAAATTGGTGGATTTGTAATTTAAGCACGTTCACCACGGATACGACGGGCCAATTGGATGTCTTTTGGCATGATTGTGACACGTTTTGCGTGAATAGCGCACAAGTTGGTGTCTTCGAATAAACCAACCAAGTAGGCTTCGCTGGCTTCTTGCAAAGCGAGAACAGCTGAGCTCTGGAAACGCAAATCGGTCTTGAAATCTTGAGCGATTTCACGAACCAACCGTTGGAACGGCAATTTGCGGATCAACAATTCAGTTGATTTTTGGTAACGACGGATTTCACGAAGAGCGACTGTTCCTGGACGATAACGATGTGGCTTCTTCACGCCTCCGGTGGCTGGAGCGCTTTTACGAGCGGCTTTGGTTGCCAACTGCTTACGTGGTGCCTTTCCACCAGTTGATTTACGAGCGGTTTGCTTTGTACGGGCCATTGCTTCTTCTTTTTACTTTGATGCTTGCTCAGCGAGAGTCGAACACAAAATGAATAACTAAGCACCGAACGCGCGTTCTATTTATAGTATTTCACGCAGGAGAAGTGACGCTACGATCGTTCTCCTTACATCGATTGCGGTAGTGGGGATGACGCGTGAAATGTATAAATAGGGTGCCGTTTCTGCAGTGAGTATCAGTTCGAGTTTGTCTCTCGTTGAGTAAAGAACATTTTAAAAATCTAAA